ATTACATAACTTATGTTTTATCAGTGTATGTATGCTTATCTGTGATCCTAATGAAAAGTGCTATGGTTTCCTCCTCTCTGCGGTGACAAACATGACTTCTGTCTCATTTAAACTTCTACACAACAGTACAGCATATTTGTCAAACTGCTGGGAAACACTGAATGATGTGTGTGTTTGTGTTTGTGTGTGTGTGTGTGTGTGTGTGCAGACCACCCTTTATATAACAAAACTTATAAAAACTTAACATTTATTACAAACATAAATGTCATCACAATACATTGTGAAGATAACATGCACATAAACACACAACTAAATCCACACATTAATTTTATATAATGTTTTTTATTCAGTATGACTTAAATAACACTTGTTTATATAGGCGGACCAAGTGTTTATACTAAAGATCAGAGGAGAGAGTGTTCTGGCTGTGGATGTAAGGATATTGCTCAAGATAAATCCCTTAGCACTCTATTTGTTGAGTTCATTTAAGTGTTAAACTTAGAGAAGAGTGTGCAATAGCAAACACCCACACATGCATTTGTTCACATGTCTCCAGCTTACAAATGCTTGCAGTATGTTGAACAAGCACAGAGATCATCCACACAGACGTTCTCTAAAGTCCAGCACATTCTGAAAAATGGATGCACAGCACTGTGAAAAAATGCAGAAGGGGTTTGATTTAGTGATGCATTATCCACTATCACATTCAATAAATTATTATTACAGTGGAAACTCAAAGGTGCTCAGAGAGAGATAGGGAGTGAGGTCTGATAAGGGAACATTTTCCCTGTCAAGTTTGTACAACAGATGAGTCTAATTTAGAGAGACTAGTGTGGGCAGTTTCTGTTTGCTAAATGCTCATACTGAACATCTAATATAAAGTTCTCTCAACATGCCGTAGAAAAAAATCAAGTATTGCTGGGAAAAACATCAATCACTGTTTTATGCTATATTATTATGATACAGTTTTTTGTTTTGGCCAGATTATTATTATTATTAAAAAAGAAAAATTAAAATGCAATTGATTCATTCACTGACTTGAATACACCTCTTCTATAATGAGCATGTTTTTAATGTATGAATTAATATTTATTTTGACATTTTTTTGGAGACAAGTCCAGTGTGATACAAATGTCCTAAAATCATAAAAGAGGGTGAAACAAATGTAAAACTGTATTAAATATTTTGACATAATCTGATATGATTTATTATAGAAAATATGAATATTTAAATTAATTAATTATTTTAATAAAAATAAATAAATGATTGATTTTCAATTTGTCTGCCAAATCAAAATCATTTGGTCTGACTCACCAAAAACGGATATTTCTGAATTAATAGTTCATGATATTTGTATTAAAAAATACCTTGACTTTTTTTTACATACATTTAAAAGTAAAAAAATGATGCTTCCACTCACATGTATTAATGGTTACATGAAAATATTATATAATTTGTCAAAACCTCCAGCATTAATGTGTACAGTTCTAACAAATTGATTTTTAAAAGATTGTTCTTTTCTTTATTGTAGAAATCCCTCACATTTCACAACTTTTTAAAAAATCTCTGTTTTTATAGACCTTGCACACCAATAAATCTTTCTCTGTGACCAGTAGAGGGCAGAAGTCTTGCTCTAGAAACAAGCTTCTTCCCTTTTGCTATAGTCTGCTGAGTGCACACATTCTTCTTCACACAACCCAAACTCTTTGCAACTTCAAGACAGCTGTGGCTGCGAGGATAGAGCAGAAATAAGGTATGGGAATCAACATGTCCTTCCATCATAGTGAATACAACTTGACAAGATGCCTACAGAGTGTGACTGTGCTTGCAGGCGTAGATGACTGGCATAAAGTGCGTGGCTGATATACAGATGAACATCTGACATGCCAGGGGAAGGAGGAGTGCTGTACATGCTGTGCTGTGGATTTGACAGGCAGATAGTCTCAGTGCTTGGGTGTGGTGCGAAAACAGCTACAGACAACTCAGTCTGTCGGCATTCAGAGAAAGTGAAATGTCGAAATGCAGCATCCGTCATTTTCATATTGAATAATGCTGCATGTGTTTTTTGGCAGGTGGTGTATGGTGGTGTGATCTAGCATGTGGATGTGGGTTGGAGAATCAGTGGCTGATCATTAGGGCACTAAGTGTAAACAGCAGCATGCCCACAGGAGAAGGCCTAACGTGGCCTCCTCACAGAAGATCAATAGCCCATTCACAGAGAGCAGCACACATACACAACACATATCCTTAGCAACAGTCTTGGAGATCCACCACCAGATTTCCCATTAAAAATGAGCATTCTGTCATTATTTACTCATTGTTTATTTACTAGTGAAAGTGAAAAGGGACTTGTCAAGCTCCACAATGACAAGAAAGCACCATAAAAGTCATTAATATGACTCACACACACTATATTCCTAGTCTTCAGAAGAATATTTGTGTCACAAGGTGCACAGGAATGCATTGTGATTTTGTGATAGTCGATTTCAGTGCTTCAGTTTAAATTTCAACTTAAATTTCAAACATGCAGTGCTTGAGTAGCATGTACCAATAACAGTACTTTAGTAATGCTGCTTTTTGTCATTTTGAGACACAGTTATGAATACAGTTCTCCTTCACTTTCATAATATTCTTCAGAAATTCACCTTTGTGCTCCATGGAAGAAAGTGTTTGTTCATGAGGGTGACTAAGCACAATGTTGTTTTTGTTAAGTAAAACAGAAACTATTAACAATATAAACAAATAATGCTGAAATAAAATAAAACATAAATAGATTAAACATAAAACTTGAAATAAAAATGAGAAATATTCCCAAAAAACAAACAAAATAGAAATAAGTATTAAAATAGCTAAAACTGAAATAAAATAAATTGAAACTAAAAAGAAATACAAGTAAAATGCGTAACAATATTACTAAAACTTAAACTAAAATTTAAATAAAAATTGAAAATATTAAAATAAAAGATCATTCAAAATTTTATATTATATACATTTATGTGTCTGTATAATGTATTAAATGTCAAATACTAGAATAGTACATAAATAATACTAAAATAACACTGAAGAAGGTAAAGCTCTGCATGTGTTATTTCAAGTGAAGCATTTTCAAATACAATTGATCATGTCCTCCATAATCAAAAAAGTATGTTTGTACATTTTAATGTCATGCCATCATCCACGGCTATTTTTATGACAAGCGAAAAAGTATGACTGATATGTCTCTGGTGTCTCTCCCACTCTTTTTATAAACATTTTTAGGAAAAACACTGAACCCTGCGCACTGTTATAATTCTTAAAGGTCTGGTCATTTTGACAATGTTGTATTTACAGGTAATTGTAAGTCATGTAAAACTTGACCAAATGCTGTGCGCTAAGACTCTTAAATAATATGCCAGATATGCTGATGTATTCCAGGGTGGAGGAAGGGTATGTTATAGTCTCCATAGAAACATAGCCACAAACTCTTGTGGAAAGTCCCTTCCCAAACGCTGACCACAATGTGTCTGTGTATGTGAGTGCATGCGTTTAACATTTTGTCTAATTCTATTCCCCCCATAATAGCAAGAGTATTCCTTAAATAAAATATATAGAATATCATTGTCATTTAAACTTACCCAGGTATGTCTTAGCAAAATGAACAATAATCATGCATTTCTCACTCCATGTATTGTGTTTTCTGGTTGAAACAGAATGTTCTACTCATAGCAACTAGAACAGAAAATTTGTTTCATAAGGCTATTTACATGAGTAACTGTGAGCACTGGACTCAAACCTAGGCCTACTGTCAGAGCCAGCAAACTGCCTATTACTCTTGGCTAATCACATTGGACGATTCCTGTATCTATAGGCCATTCTTGCTTTTATTTTATTATCATCATAAACAAATTGGTTATACACATTGGTAATAGTTTTAACATTTACTGCACTTTGTTTTTCTTCTAGGTATTTACCTATAATAGCTAATGAATCAGTAGTCTCGCACAGTGAAATAAAGTGATACACATTTTTTCCCCTCCAAACCAATCCAGGCGCAAGATTTCATTGGTCAATCACAAGTCTAAAACAAATAGTACACCCTAACCTTAATGGCTTTGTTAGCAGATACTGATAGTAGCCTATTACTATTTGTTAATCGGACAAGTATATGATATTTTATAACACTGAACTAAATCCTTGAACTTTTCTTGACAGGTGACTGAATGATTTGACCAATGACCAATTCGGCTACGGGTTGAACTGGTTTGAGGAAAAAAAATTGTGGATAATTCAGATCTTTGTATAATAATGCAAGGTCGCAGATAACCACAGGCGTGCTGATATTTGTGATATTTTTTGGTGATGTGATATTGCTTTCATAAAACATTAATATACAGGTGCATCTCAAATTAGAATGTCGTGGAAAAGTTCATTATTTCAGTAATTCAACTCAAATTGTGAAACTTAATTATTAAATAATTAAGTATTAAATAAATTCAATGCACACAGACTGAAGTAGTTTAAGTTTTTGGTTCTTTTAATTGTGATGATTTTGTCTGACATTTAACAAAAACCCACCAATTCTAAAAGAACCAAAGACTTAAACTACTTCAGTCTGTGTGCATTGAATTTATTTAATACACGAGTTTCACAATTTGAGTTGAATTACTGAAATAAAGGAACTTTTCCACGACATTCTAATTGATTGAGATGCACCTGTAAGCAAGAAATTAATACTGAGCTACTTGTATTTAGTTAATACATTTATTTTTAATAAATATCGCTGGCAGAGTTCCAAAACAATCCACAGCGTCTACCTTTCCACGTTAATGCACAGGGTAAACCCCGGTCTGGAGCATTGAATGAGTGGAGCGGAGTGACAGAGCTCCATGGCTCATAGCGTTCTATAATCACTTGGCTCTAACTCCACTCCGGGATTTCCATTCCCTGTTCTGAGCAAATGATACAAACTGCAGTTTCTCAGTGATGTTGAACTAAATAGCAGCACTCCCGGAACGCTGCTGTGTATTTCAGATTAGAGAAACTAACTGACATGTAATGTTCAACTTCAAAACACACCATTTGTTTATGGAGCCTCAAACGTCATTATGTTTTTCTATACTTTTAATGGAACAACCTCCAATCCCTTCTCTTTAACTGGGCCGGCCAACTGCTCCATATTTGGATTACACATTTCACACACACTCTTACGCACGCCTACACACACATACTCACTCCCTCCGTCACACACTCACTCACTCACTGGAGGTGGGGGCAAGGAGCGATAGAGCTATTAGCTCGGGCTGCAGCAGACATCATTGTACGAGCGGAGGGGAGACGATTCCACCGGCAGTGCGCGAGAACGCACGGAGCCCTGGCAACACGGAGAGCCTCGCGCTTCCCTGCCCGTTATACCGTACAGTAAGTCCGTGCATCTAATTTACCAGCACAAAACTGTCTTTTAGATTTGCTTGCAGTCAGGGAAAAATGGCTGGGAACTAAAGGACGCAGGAGGAACAGAGTGTGACGTTTATTTAAAAAAAATATTTGTAAATATGTACTGTGACAGTTGCACTAATTATTATGTCAACCTGTCTGCGGTCGACCGGGCGAGATGTTCAAAATGTGCTGTTTGTCATCTCGATTAAAAATTATATAACTACTTTGAAGTAGCGTACGGGAAGCGGGGCGGTTACTTGTGAGCTGTAAGCCCGAGCAGGGAGCGCTCTCGGCGGGGCTGAGCAACTGCGCCACCCCGCCTCCTTTTATCGCTCCAGATAGACTTATAAACATCAATTTATCTGCGGATTATTGATCAGTCAGCTGTACTTTTTTGAACACACTGTCACTCGTCGTAGCTGTGCACACTTCTGCTGAGTCAACATTGTTGCTGGAAACCCTTATGATGTGAAAACACAATCGCGGAAGTGTTAGGCTACACTACAGTTGCGACTTCAACCCTTGTGCACCGTTTAATCCACGGCTACGCGGTTTATGCAAGTGCATTTATCGCCCGTGTCTGTTTAATTGAGAATAGCACGTACAAATAGGCTACAACACTTTGTCTCCGCTTCACTGTCACAGTGTTTTAATATACACTGGTTGTGTTTCAGTACCTAGTGAGCGCACCATATCGTATGGTTCCTAAAAGGCGGTGTGATTTGTTCGGCGCGTTCTGAACAGACTCCAGTAATGCTGTCTAGGTAGGCAGGTTTACTAGGCTTTGAGATGCAGCCATTGAGTGTATCCCGCCGTGATGTCACTCGGTTCATCCCGGCTGGTTATATAATGAGCTGTTGCTGTGTATATTTCATGTGTTTTTGCAGGGCTGATGGGGGCTCCATGCATTGTGACCGACATGCAGCGCCAGGTTTTGTTGCTTTACTAAATAAACCGTGCAATTTAGCTTTGATTATGTAAACAGTTGGTTGAGACAGCCTTAAGTATGTCTTTTGTTAGGATTAGAGTATCATTATATCACGTACTATACTGTACTATGTGTTCTGTACATTAATATACTATGCCTTGCGTTTGTGCACAGTTTGCAACAGTTGCATACTGTACTGTACTATACTGTACTGTACCAAACTATATTGTGCAATGTACATATACTGTATAACCTTAACCATTTTACATGTGCAAAGATTTATGGCACATGTCATATGACGGCTTATGTTACACTTTATACTGTAATGTATACTATAGTATTCTATAATGTAGTATGCTGATATACTTCACTGTACGATGTAACATTGTTTTGACTTTTGATCCGCAAGTGCACATCTGTTGCTGTTTATACATCTTACATGTTCCACATATACTTTCAAATTTGAATCTTGCCACATGTGCCATGTGGTGTTTTGAGTAGAATGATTTGCATTATCTTAAAGGGACAGTTCACCCAAAAATGAAAATTCTGTCATCATTTACTTAATCTTTCTTCGCTCTGCATAACACAAAAGATGATGTTTAAATAATGTTTCAGCTTTTTTTTTTGTTTATACAGGGTTAAAACGTTTCAAGCTCCAAAAAGGAGTTCAGTGGTTTAGTTGAAGTCTTTGACATTTTGTAATATGAACAGGGCAACATTTTCAACCTAGACTCATTGGAAAAATGTGCCTCTACCTTAAATGAACACTAGAGGCAGTAAAACACTGTTATTCCTTTTCACACTTATTATTAATACAGGGACAGAATATTGATTAATAAAGATTATTCTTGCATGGTTCTGAACGTAAAAGGCATTTTTCCATAGTGTATGATTTGTAAACTAATGCATTTTTACATTTGCATCACATAACCTGATTCATATGTACTGTATGGCTTTTCTGACATAGTAAACTTGCTCAGTAGCTCACCTGGTATACTGCATTGCATTTTGCGATCGGAGGAGTGGATGGGTACGAGTCCCCTGAAACACAAGTCACGATAAAAGAGCTCAAAAACTTGTAAAACACGATAAATGCACCAAAAAACACAATTTTTGCTTCAATAAATGCATTTTTATCTCACATTTGCTTTTGTTAACACTATTGGCTAGGTTTAGGGTAGGGTTTAGTAGGGTTAGACATTTCACCTGAAGATCCAGTTATGACATTTTGATAAAATATTATGAGGTCTATAATTAAAAGTTACATGCATGGATGAATTGTTAACAATAAGAAAATAGACAGGGTGATTTTTCATTTCATTTCAGTTCAAATGCTTGTTTACAGTGTGGCCTTCGAGTCAGAAATATTGTGATTTTGAGTTCAACTCAAAAAGCACATGAATGACCAAGTGAAGTCATTTTAAGAGTGGGGAAATTCTTATTGATACCTGGCCACTGCAATCTCAAAGATGTCAGAAGGCAACACTGCAGTAGATTGAAGTAGGGCTCCTCAATATTGGAAAAAACTGACATTATGTTTTTCTGCAATATATATTGTGATATGATTATTTATTTTTTGACCAGATTACTCTATTGGGAAAGAACTTATAATTCTAGATTTATTGGGGTGTTTGCATAAAAAATAAAATTATTACTTTTTACTCTGAATACTTTTTTTAAGTGAGAGCTTTTTTGGTTGAATGATTTTGGAAAAACTTGAAAAATGTGGATGTATACTCGTAAAAAGATCCAATTCAAATCTCAAAGCCATATTGAGATGTTGATCAATATGTTTTGATATATCATGCAGCCCTATGATTTTGCTCATTCCAGTACTGTATATCAGTAATATTAATGTGTTTTATGACAAGGTTTTGGTCAACAAATATAAAGCTTATTACTCACATTGTGGGTACATTATGCCAATTAATCTATTACTTTTCATATAGCATGCATGCATACATAAGGCTGTGTGAAAGTGATGTGCAGGCATATTTAATTATGCTTATCCACTTGTACAAGCTTATCAGGTTGTCCCCTGTTTATTTATATGATTTTGTCTTCTTCCGTATTTTGTTTCCTACTCTAATTCTGTAACACGTTGTGATATGTCTGCCTATACCTCGGAAGTGGCAGCTTACCAGGTGTCCATGAAAGCAGCATCCATACTTGTCAGTCAGCTGATCTGAGGCTTTGTAGTGAAGATAGGCTCAGATATAGAAGCAATCGATTGCTGAAGTTCTGAATGGCAGAGTGTGAATAGTGTAGCGGCTCTGTGTCAGTATGGGGATCGATGACCCCTCTATGGGCTGCTGTCCTCCTTTGGCGTGGGGATCTGTACGTTTGCTGCTCCCTTTGGGCATATCCAGATAGTAGAGCCACTATTGATGCCACTCTTTCACCATGAAGGCAACAAAGAACAGCAAAGCTTCACGCTCATGTGCAGCTGGTTTAGAACATGATGAAAACCCATTTAAAGCTTGTTGTGGAAAAGGCCTGTTTCAGAAAGCCTTAAGTAGCATCCGTTTTTGGAGCCTCCTTAAAGTGATAGTTCACCAGAAATGAAAATTTGGTTATCATTTATTAATCTTTATGTAAATCCAGACTTGTATGGATTTTTTCTTTAGTGGAGCAGAAAAGTAGACATTTAGGAGAATATTCATGCTGCACTTTTCCATACAGTGAAAGTGAATGAGACCAAGATACGAAAAAGGCACCATAAAAGCCATATTAAAGACTTGTATACCGTAGACCAGTATTTTGCAATTCTTCTGAAGCTTACTGTGGTGAATAAATTGAAATTTATGTCCTTACTGACCAAAAATCTTTCTTGACCTCCACTGTCACCATTCTCTTTGATTGAATGGAAAAAAGCAGCTTCGGCGTTCTGCTAAACATCTCATTTTGCATTTTATAAACATTATACAGGTTTGGAACAACACAAACGCTAATAAATTATGTCATAATTTTCATTTATAGATGAACTATACCTTTTTGTTGTCTGTTTTGCAGTTCGTGAATGAGCAGAAGGTTGATGGTTCTTAATATATCAGCCCTCAGGAAATCGACAGACTAAAAAGCCTCATTCTCAACATATGCATCAGTCAGTTATTGAGGTACTGCACAAAGTAAGACCTCTGTGCAATTTTTAGTGTTCATTCATGTGTCTCAACCTTTTTATCCCCACAGTTGGCCATATTCATATTTAATGGCCTTCGATATAGTTTGGCACTAGAATTGCTTTATTTGTAATGAGGAACTTGGTAGGGAAAAATTGCCCACATATTTTTACGCTCTTTAGTGTCAGTCATGTTTCTTGTCACTAGTAATTCTTTTGGTATGAAAATTACTAAATAATATAGCATTATGTGGCTGAATATCTCATCTCTGTTTCTTCCTTTCCATCTGATTTGTATTACATTTTGAAACTGCAATAAATTTAGCTTGTTTTGAACTGTTTTGCATATAGTTCATAAACAAAGGGCAGCTGGAATAATTTGACCAGCATGTTATAAGCCCTGAGGCACAGAACACACAAATGAAGACAATGCTCGTGGAACAAAGATGCCATCCTTTCTGATGCAACTAGTCAGATAAATAGGACCACCAAGTGTTCTTTAACCGCAGCACATACTTCTGTCTGCCCTCACATTTCATGCTGTACAGGACGGGATTGCAGATTAAAGGGGTCATATGATACGATTTCAAGTTTTCCTTTCTCTTTGGAGTGTAAAAAGCTGTTCGTGAATAGATAAGATCCCTAAAGTTGCAAAGACTAAAGTCTCAAACCCAAAGAGATATTCTTTATAAAAGTTAAAACTGGTCCACACCCTCCTAAAACGCCTCGTTCAAACACGGCCCCACATGTCTACGTCACGATGTGGGAAGATTTGCATAACACTGCCCAAATGTTCATGCAAAGAAAGAAGGCGTAACGTTATTGTTGCTGCCACCATCGCCGCCATGTTGTGAAGATGCTGTGTGTTTCGTTGTGAAAGCGAAAATACTTTGTTTGGCCTTAAAAAAGAGGACACGACTAGAAATCAGTGGT